AAAATATTGATTTAACGTCACTAAATTTTACGTCAGATATTTACATGTTTGTGTAATACATTTAAGTGATCATCTGACGTACTAATAATATTAATCGTAAATCGCCATTTAAATGTTATTATTAAATTTGTCGTATAACAATATCCAATGAAGAAGTTTGCAATCAATAATTGCACTGCAATAACCTGTAATGTACAATCAAGACAGCATGCTTTGTTAATACTTGAGGCTAAGAATAATCTTGGAGCTTCTGGAGATGCATACTTACAGGTTGCTGGTTCATATGGGAAGTACTTGGATACTGTAGCTAATTATGAAAGATATTGCAATCCTTGCTTTCTTTTTTTTAATATCTATATTATTCTCGTATTGCCTCTATATGTGGCTATGTAATTTGTTAGATGCTTTAAAGAAAACTAAATCGTTCCTTAACAGAGTGCAAAAGACTATTTGTCGACAAATTATGTCATAATTAAGACTAAACTGTATGATGATACATTGTCCCTGTTGACATATCAACTGCTTGTATTACAAGCGATTGTTTGAAGAAGACTATCTGTCGACAGATACATTGTGATCTAAATTTACTTCCTGCAATTATTTGACCAACATGTTATGTTAGTACTGTATAAGAATAATGATGTACTGTGTGATCAAAGACAGTCTACGTCATATTAAGTAAAAGGTAATTATTATGTTACATGACACTCGTAAATAAGACGCTGTTATTATGGTATCAACAAGCTAATATGTGTATACAGTGTGGTGCGAAAAAATTGGCGCGTAAATTAAAAACTTACTTTTTTCGAGTAACAAAAGAAAATTGCGTTAGTTTACATGGTTTCTAAGTTTATTACTTGCAAAAGTAAACCATCCTTTTCCTTGAACTTGAACCTTGTGAAACAAAGCTTGAAGCACAGCATCAAAAATTTTTACATTGTTAGCTAAATGAATAAAAACCCCATACCACTTGCCACCCCAATGCTTACCAGTAATCATATTGATGCTCGAAAAGCATGGGCCCAAGCTCATTTGAATAATAACTAAAATCATACTATTTTTACAGATAAACGGCCTTTGACTTATTTTATCATAAAGGCCTAAAGGTATTGATGAGTTAAAGCAATTTATGGTAGAAGAGTGGGATAAAATTCCTCGGATCTATGAAAAATCGTTGTGAACTAGTATTACAAAAAAATGGGAATAAAATTTTATATTAAAATTTTACACTTAATAAAGTAGTTTATAAGCTTTAGAATAAGTCTACTTTCATTTGTCTCTGTTGGGTAATTGTTGAGATATACAAGTTATTTGCATGCCATTTTTTTTGCAACACACTGTATTTGCACAACAAATATTGATAGAAATTGATATTAATTACGTTTTGGGGACATTGGCGCAAATAAACTGCCTTTGCCACAAATCACATGTAAATTTACATAGTGATGCAAATTACATATGTCATATTTATGCTCAAATCCTGACAATTTGCAATAAGGATTAAACAATGAAATGAATAACAAAGTTAATTTACAGTCCTATAAAAGCATGTGCACACATATACTCACAAACTTGCTATTTATTACTATTGCTATGACTATTTATATTATTACCAATTACCCCCTCAAAAAAATGGTGAGGTTTTGAATTCAACCACATGATGATATATGTATATAATAAGCCATTGTTGCTAAATACTAGTAAATCCTATTCTATTTACTAAATCAGTAGATAAGTTAAGTAATACTTAAGTCAGTTTATTTGGGTTATGCTTTAAGTTACAGAAAAAAATACAAGCTGAAAAAAAAAAGCAATTAACCATACATTATTTCCAAGAGAAATCTTCAGGCATGAAGCTTTTCATCAGGCTTGTATGGCCCAAAATCTTCAATTGCATTTTTAAATTTTTTAATATAATCATCAGAAGGTTTAAGTCTCTCATCATATGCAACTCTCAAAACCTTAAGTGTGCCACTTAGATAGTTAAGAATTGTATCACAATAACTATCATTAAACTTGAACTCATTTGAAATAATTAACTTGGTGAGAGGAGGAGTAGATCTGGATAGAAAATTTTCTAATGAAGCAGCCTTAAAGACAACTACCTTGTGCAATTCTAGTTGAGTTAAATGGGAAAGCTTATAATTAGCCAAATGATTAAAATAAACATCAACTGTATCATCAGCTAATTTTTCCTCATTATTCAATGCAATAGAATTCAATTTAGGCAAAGCAGAGACCAAATGAGCAATTGAAAATGCAGTTTCTTTAGATGATATGGGTACAGATAGATGTTTAAGATTTTGGCAAACTCTCAAGATCAATTTGCACATCCCCTCATGGAGAGTTGTTTTCCCCAAGCTCAATGTGTGTAATGTTGATCCATAATTTCTAATAATACCTTTGAGAATTTCATCTGGAACAGTAGCATGTTCAAAAATAAGATGTTCCAAACTTGGTAAGTCTACTTTTACAATTGATCCAAAATTCTCTACTGTTAGATCACCAAACGTTTTCACTTTAATAGTCTTTAATTGAGGGAAGACCATTGACTCGAAATCAAGACTGTCAGAATCAAGTGACACAAAATTCAGTGTGATTGATTGCAGAGAATGCATACAAGCTTTTAGCAGCTGTAATATTGCAGACAATTTGGATTTGATGCACTCAACTGTGAAAGCCTTGAGCTGATGTTGTGATTGTATCAGTCTGTATACATTGTCTAGGGATCCTTGTCTAACATCAAACCTTTTTGTATGACAATTAATTAAGATTGACTCTAGATTGCATGCTACTGTTGCAATTGAGTCAAAGACATCTTTGTAAGTTCTTTCAGAAACCCAAACAAGGCTTCTTAGCTGTTGTAGTTCTTGTGTGGAGGCAAAGCATTTCTTTAATTGTGTGCATACCTGTGGCTTTCTTGGTGTGAGACATAGTGATTGGAGTTGCTGACAATATCTAATAGCCAGAATCATAACCTTTACAGTAATACTTTCCATTAAATGAAAATTCTTCTCTCTGGCTTTAATTTCTAAAGAAGAGGATACATCCAACTCACGCCAGTCCCTAACGTTGGCTGAAACATCATCAAAATTGATTTCCTTTATGTAGATACTGTAGTCAAACAGAGGTCTCTTGCTGTGTCTCCTATCAAGTGAATCATCGTTATCCAAGACGCAGCTAGTCTCAGTAAAGCATTCAATAAATACTGTCAAAAGTTTTTCTGCTCGTCTACAGTTTTCTTTATCATTGTTATATGATCTGTCTTTATGTAGCAACTTAAATGGACTAGCCCAAAGGTATTGGATAGCCGCTCCATACCAATTCTTATTAAGCTGAATACAAGAGTACAATGTCGCTTTGTCATGGGCACAGTCATCCAAAATCATTGTAAGAAGCTCAAGCGGCAAAGAGACAGTCATTTTGAAGGTGAAAGAATTAGGTTGTTGCTTTAATGGTTATTGTTGCTTTGTCGGCGATAAATATGTTAGACGATAGGTCATGCTGATCAACTATTATCTAAATGTATGTTACACATTCTGAAATATCGGACTTATTCCTCCGGCGACGCTGCTAAATACCAACAGACCTTTCGCTAATTCGGAAATGTATCGATTGGATAGTTGTTGCAAGAAGAACAGCTGAGAATTTTCAATAGTTGCTAAAATTCATCTGGTAAATATAGGATTAAAACTATCCACAACTCTTTCAAATGCAAGCGTCGTATCATCAGACAAAGGCGCATTACGAACAAAGATTAGACATATGTGATACATTGGCCGACCAACTCTCCAATTGAATAGAGTGAATGCTATTGGATCATGATTGCTTGTTAACAAGACTTGCAAGTCTAGTGATGTCTATTCCTTTTCAGATTAGGTGAGGTATAGAGATGGATGGGTACGGCACTATGAAATCACCTCCATTATTCTGAGATTAATCAATCTGCTAAGGTAGACTTCTTATCTATTATCGATTTCCGTCTGGCAAAAATGACCTTTATCTGTAATTAACTAATTACATTGTGAAATAGTTATATCACCCCACATCGAGTATAAGAGCATTGGTATATCGTATAAGAATAATGACCAACAAATTAAACATAAGGGTTTTTGGTGCAAATCTATTGAGTCATGTACTTACGTGTGGCATTCATATGCTCCGCGCTCATAATCTTTCCGAATAACAGGTGTTTTACTTTGTCCGCCAACGCATTGAGAGTAAGATGCATCGCCATCTATTGTAATGATGGTAGAAATATAATGGTCAATGTGAGGACCTAATAACACAATAGAATCAAATGGCCAGCTGTAAACATTCACTCACAGCACGGAATTTGGAATGGTCACCTTATAGAAGAGTTAAGGACGGCGGTTCTTCTTCAAGAGACATGCCGGACGTCTCCTCAGTTCTCCATTGCACGTGCAGGTCTGCTTTTTAACATATAGACATAAAACATTAGAACCAAGGAACTCGAATTGGCGTTATGCGTAGAGAATGTGCATTTGTTACCTATAATGGTCAGTATTTATTCGTCATCGTGTACACCATACTATGGTAGGCTGTTCCAGCTTAACCTGCGAGTGGGCGTTTGTTAATATTTTATCTATCACAATAGATTACATGCTTACTATCTCAACACAATATGGGTTAATAATATTACCAAGTGTTATCGCATTTACTTGCGATGAGATTGTCACAATCTTTCCACGACATGACGGCAGGCGGCAAGACTCTGTTGAAATATGCAAGCTCCCCAGCCGGAAACCCTGAAGTCACCAATTTCGAGGTCTAATAAATACAAATGCAAAAAGCCCAGTATTAATCGAAATATTACTCTCACTCTTTGTGTCTTCAGATGTTATGATTTTGGTCACAACGATCTCACTGTTTAATCTCCAATATAATCTATAGGTTCCTTACTAATGTATTAAACCGTTTGTGAATTCCTAGTCAAGCTTCTTAATATCGTCATCAATATGCTACGCAGGTTATCGCTCCCAAGAACTCTCACCTGACAAGAGAATGGCTTGGTTCTATAACATTTGAAAATAGCATCATGCAGAATCATGCATAAACATTCGCGATAATCTACCGTTTTTATATTCCTAGATGTCATTCCGATACTGTTAGCAGCCCAACCTCCAAACTACAAATAGACAATTGTAAAGAGTACACGGTTAGAATGCTTTACAATCCTACACCTGCTTCTTGAATTACACTCTTACCACCATGCATGTTGTCTTGTCTTTCTTTCTGCTCGCCAAATCAATGTTCACAGATTTTGATAGCAATATCGCCGATAAATATGCAATATTAGCAATTGACACACCAGTATCGTCTCAACAAAATGATTTGGCCAAGGATTCGCTAGAATCGAACACCAGCATCGACAGGCAGTCGTTTAAGCTGTATGAATAAATGATCGTGTTGATCATGTTCAACGTATTATCACGTGATATAATGATGACCCAATAAAATAAAACACATTTCTCGATAGGGAAATCCGATGACAATTAAAAGTGATTGGTAATGCAATCGGAAAGGGATCGTTATTTTCGGAATATGTTAGTGATGTAATTCATGCTAATAAGGAGAATCACACAGAGACGCGACTTGTCTGCCGCGCCGCCAGATCCCTAATTCACGAGCTGTGATTTGAAAGATTGTTTCAGCGTTATAGCATTAGAGTATCACGTATGAATATAATATTGCAACAGGATGTTTATAAGACAGAGAAGAGGGTCGAGGGCGAAATATTATGAAAACTCTGTTAAAGCGTGGCTCAGATGTCGATATGAACTAAAGTTGAGACAATAATGCGATAAGAAATTTGTCCTGTGGAAAATATTTACTAAAAATATGAAAATGCTTAAAATAGGTAGCATTGCTGTTTTTACATGTTTCAAAATATAATAAACGCGACTAGAGAAGTAAGTATGTCGACTACTCGCAAATATCATTTAAAGCATTCTAGATCTTCGTAAAGCTCATGCATAGATCGTCAACTACGAGAAGGGCTATAAGTGTTCCTAGACATTCTATGTATCAAATAGTGCAAGAGTATCAAATAAGAGTAGTGTTTAAGTAGTTCATATAATCATTACTGTCAATACTCACTTTGTCCAGGGTCTCAAATCTTTTCAATACATCTTTCAACTTCGTCACTGCAGCACTGAGCTCCTCTCTGTAGGCATGCGCTGCTGTTCTCCAAGAGGGAATATCCCCCGCCTCCATTTACATCCCTGTCCGTAACCACATGTAATTCGTGTGTTTGCAAATGATTTTATTGATCGCGCGAAGTAAAAAACCGAAGCGGACTTCATACGATTGAGGACGAAGTAATTTTCCTCCATGTTTTCGTTTGCTGTTATTATTATTATTATGGTTACGTGATAGTAATATTAATAATATATTGTTATGACGTTTGTAACGTTCTTGCCCAAATTGAGAAATGTATATGCTTCTGCCCAATCGATGGGTCTGCGTTATTTCTAATCAGCTGGGCGGAATAACTTTGGTAAGGAGTCTCTCTTTATGGCCTCCCAGTGTGCCTCTATTAACATAGTCGTCTTAAACAAGCAAATTTTCTCTGAATTCGCTGCCCTTGTCCCAATTTTCTTTTTTGTATTGATCCGAGAGTTTCTTTGTCAGACTTGGTACAGGTCACATGTAAGAGAAGACAAGGTTGCACGAATTCAATAATGAGTATTTCTGTGAATCTGCCAGCCTTGAATATTAAATGGCGGTTCTCAGGTCGTAAAACAAGTCAGCAGAGATTAAGGTCCCCTATTGACAATTTCAGCAAGGTAAGGATGTAGTAAATCGGTCCAAAGGTTAGAAACGGGGGTCATGATAATTTAGGCTAAGACAATGGGCGGGGCGTGCACACGAGTTTGAAGTATGCTGTGTGGCACAACAATTTTTTGGATCAACATTCTCCTTTATCATGATCCACTCGTTTTCGAAAAGGACTATTCACACTTCGCGACGCTGGCTCTCAAGCACATATTCACAACAACAGAACTGTTTATTAAAGTTACATACATTCAACAATTTCAACCATAACGGTCATGAAATTCGACGCTTATGTCAATTCTCCACAGTAAATCAGCAACAGCCAGCGGCTTCAACAGGACATGAAATACCCCAATCTTTAATTCCTCCTAACAAGACCACGCAGTTCGATGCGCGACAAAATGCATACCAGGCTGGGAAAGCAAAAGCGTCAAAGGAAATGCCTCTCTACTCTTCAGAATCATCGGAAGATAAACGAAAGGGTGCCGACGAATACACGTTGAATGTTGGTGCTGGTACGTGTACCAGAGTTTTGCTCGTTTTGATTTTTATCTATTTTACATTATGCATTTTGAACTGACCAAGGCATCCAATATATTCTATTATTTCAAGAATAATATCACTAGAGCATTCATTACTCACTTCGTTTTGCCTCTCAAACTTTTCGACCTTTAATAGCAATTCGCACAATTCGTTCTGATCTTCCTCGTTTTTTTGAACGCGGCTTGTCAGACACATCAATCTACTCTCAAAATATTCTCCTGTCTGAGCCATACCATACACGACTATACGTCCGCGGCAAACACTTATACGTTGGAATAGCTAATTTACTACGTTGGAGTCTAACATGGTACTTTGATGATATCATATTCGAAATGATCAGCATGCGCGTAGTAGACGCTAACACGGGTGGACAGGATGATGATGAAGGCAGTTTCCATTATCCATTGATTGATGAGGCGAACGCCATCTACAGCAACAACATTACACCAGAGAACCAGAGAATTATTTCACTGTCTCGCCATGATGTGCTTCCAACAACGTTAAATCCGCCTTCGAACCCAGAACCATCAGAAAGAGATACTCGTCTTTTCGTTCGCTGGACATTTGAAGGCACTCCTCGTGCATCATATTTCTGGTCACTTTTTTCATCAAGTGAATCGCCTATTCCTCGGTCCACTTTTTCTGGAGTATTTATGTATATGTTTGACGCGAGAGGACATGTTAGCGAGCATTGGGTAAAAAGCATAATACCTGCTCCTAGCAGAAGGGCGGTGCTGTATCATGGCTTTGGAGGATTGGGTGGTTGGTTGTGGCGAATAAGAAGCTTGTTGAGACAGCAAAAGGGATATTGGGGAATTGGATTGGGAATGGTTGGAATAAGGAATAACGATGGGAATGAGGAAAAGAGAAGGTGTGAATTTAGGTGAACGATGGATGAGTGGGAAAGAAAAAGGTACCAGAATAGTGGAATGTGAGAATAATAGTGACAATCATAGCTTGTTTGCTTATTAACGATTGTTATAAAAAGCTCGATATAATCGTATTCTAATAGGACTGTACATTAGATATCATTCAAGATGTAAACTAAATGCAGAAGGCGTTATTTTAATCTTTTACGAAACGACTCGTATTTTATGGCGTCTACTGGGTTGATGAAGGATTGGACTTGTACAATATAACTTTTTCTTGATCCCTTGCTGTCATCCGAGTTTCGTCCAATTTCACCATCCCTTCGCGTTTGGGATTTTTTAAGACGTGTAGCATACATACACATCAGGAGCATCATGGGGTCTTTTCTCGTTTCTTGTTTGTGATGTAATTAACAAGTAATTGTTGCGTACCAGACACCCGTATGGTTACTGATACAGATACACTTCTTAATGCCTTTCATCCAATTGCCAAGCATGAGATCAATGCATACAGAGTCAGTTCTTCATTTTACCATTTTCGTGCAATTACATCACAAAGAAAGTCGCGAAATTCTATTTTTGCATTTGACAGCTTAATTTTTATTTCGTTTTATTATTCTTTATTATTTTAGTTTATTTAGTGTATTGATAACATTATTATTCGAGTTCGAGTGATATTTAAATTTAAAGTGATTTTGTTAGATACAGATTTATGAATAGTTTAATTTTCTATTCGCTTCTTTTCTTTTTGTAGAGCACTGCACAGATTGGAGTCCATTAATGTACCATTGGTGGCGCTGATGGCGTTGATATACGAGCTACGGCAATTGAGACACCTTCAAACAGAGCCAAAACCAAACCCCCGAGAGCAGCTGACCTTGCCGATGCAGCTAGTCCGCCTGATAAACCGCGTTCATATAAATCAATGCTATGAGTAAATTCTCGAATATTCACAAATACTACATAATAACGATCCCATTACGCGACAATACCTCTAGCTGCCAAAACTCCGCCAGTTAGAAAACCACTTGCAATCACATTCCACGGATCTTCTTTCTGCCGTATTCCTTTCAATGCACAATCGAACGTAGAAAATAATCCACCCCATACAGCAAAATTACCCCCAAGAACCGGAGAACGGGCTTTCACTGAAGATATAGCTCCAATTATACGTTCGCCCTACAAATGTAGACATTATCAACATGAGCAATTAGAAGGGCATGATGATGATAATTAAATCATAATGATAATAAAAGTAAAAAATAATAATAAAGATAATCATATATAATACTAATATAAACTTAATGTAAATCAAACGGTACGGTCACAGGCGCAACGGACCTTCCGACCCGACTTCCTTTTCTCGCAAATCATCAAGACAGCGCCCAGGAGAGTCTGCTATTGCTTTTCAACTCGCAGTCTTCTCTCCAGCCAGCCAACAACCGCTCCGTGTTTCTAAAGGTATATTTCTGCAACAATCAGCAGAAGCCATACTTACCCTGGGCGAGTTCTTGGATCCTTTAACTATGTGCCATATTCCCGAGCCTATTGCTCCCATTGCGAATGCAGCGCCTGTATCATTCAAGATCACCCAAGGACTAATAGTGGGAAAACTGTATTGTAAGCAGATTTTGCAACAAGCAGCAAATGAGAGAGTATATGCTTACCATGGATCTCTTGTATGATCGCTATATCGTGCCATATTTCTCTACGTAACAGTAAATTCACACTACGTGTAAAAAAAAGTCCAAGGAAAGAGACTACAAGTCTGGCGACTCTCAATATCGGAGAAAAAAATCCTTTTGTATTTGCGACTTCAGGCACCCAAAATTTTCTTGTCTTACCGTAACTATTTCCGTTAACCAAACCCGTGAAGATTTCCATATTTGAATTTTGATTTTTGACTAAATTCTGCTCATGTTGGTTATTATGGAATTTTTGCAGCAAAATTGCTTGTTTACCCTTTCATATGCTTGAAATCTGTCACGAATCTTGTTGCTGCCATTGGTCATCCCCACTTTCATTCGAGCGTTTGCAAGCTTTCAAAAGTATAACGATAGTTGGGAAAGTGTCTTTGCGATCTTAACATGGAGCAGGCAAAGGAAATTAAAGACTATAACCCTGACGATCTAGTCTGGGATTCTACGCATACAATCAATGAACAGCATCGATATTGCTATTGCGGTCGCGACAGAAACCTAACCGAAATTAGTTTGCAGTGTTCAGGTATTTGGCATGTGCGCCAAAGTTTTCCAATGATAAAATACAGACTTTTTTTATATAAATGCTCTTCTATGGCAATAGAATGTAAGAATTGGTTCCACCGAGAATGTATAGAAATACCATTGGGTTATATTGTTCCGTTTATTACAAACTACCAATTCGTCTGTAGAAACTGTCCGGGAGGCGAGTTATTCAAGGTATCGCGAATTTACTTTCAGTTGAAGAGAGAGTGTTTTCCAATGACTTATTTTTTTGGCTGAATAGAATTACCTTGTTATAGCGTACCCAAGCAGGTTGGAAAGAAATAAGTGGAACTTCTTTGGCAAATCTAATCTTACAAACACACATGCTCGATCATAACGCCGTGGGAGGGGACGAGAGATATACAACAGCACAATATCTCAAGCTAGGACCATTTCAGTATTACTTCAACAAAAAGGATCACATTTTGCCTTTCGTCGACAAGAACTGGTCGGGGTTATGCACAGAAAGGACAAGGACAAGTACATGGTAAGAATCAAAAACATATTCGATGGTATGATACTTATTGTAGTCTGAATCGCTTTTTCTGGAACCGTTTTGACAATAAAGGTGGGCCACGTTAGGATCTTGTTTATACATGACGCATGACTTGTTCGTGGCAAAACACGAACACAGATCAGCTGGTTCAGACTTTTGTCTTAGAGATACGAATCTATGGCATATTCGACCTGGGCACTTTATGGTAAGGAGAACAGTAGAATTAATACAAACATGTGCATGTGATCGGCATTGTGTCACAAACACTTGCGTGACATACTTTATTCGCGAGCATTGAAGATTAAAAGAAATCCATTGGCCATTCAATTTTACTAGTCAAAAAGCACGACGAATGCGCGAGTTCCTAGAACGAGCTCGCAGGGGAGCAGCTTTAAATCCGAAAACGAGGCCCAATCTACTTCCACTTCGTCTGCTATGAAACGTCCCTCGACCATATCTCGGCCTAACAAACGCATTGCCCTTTCCAATGCTTCCAACCAATCTTTATTTACAACAACGTCAAATGCAGCATTTGTGCAGTCCGGGGAACAACGTAATGTGCGTAATGGGTTTAAATATCTTCCATGTACTGCCGACCCATTATTCGCGTATACGACCTATGTGTGTGCAGAAATTCCGCCATTTGGTGTACGTTTGAGTAAAGAAGATGCTAGTTCCTACGTATGGATAAGTGCTGACAAGTTGACGGCAACTACAGATAAAGGATTTCGCATGGCTAGGGCTAATTGCTGTATCAGAGAGGGAAAATGGTTTTATGAAGTTTTTGTGGATCGAGGAGGTGAAGGGAACGCAAATGGCACCGACGGTGCTCATTTGAGAGTTGGATGGGCAAGGAGAGAAGGTACATCATGTTTTACATTGTATATCAGATGTATCACGTGTCCCGATTATGTAATTTGACTGACCTTTGTTAATTAGGGGGCAGAAACACACCAGTCGGTTTCGATGGATACAGTTATGGTGTTCGAGATCTCACTGGCGAGAAGGTGCATCTATCTCGGCCCGTAAAATTTGGCGAACCATTCAAGACTGGAGATGTAATTGGTCTCTACATCGCTCTCCCTAAGCTTGAGAATGACCACCTAACAAAGATGACCAAACGTCATAGGACAGCAATAGGTATCAAGGGACAAACAGTATTCGAGTACAAAGACTATAAACCAACAAAATCTATGAACGATTGCCTAATTCCACCGATTACCAAAAAAAAGTATGTTCCGCCTGGTGCATCTTCTACCATGTCAGAGGCAAACACAACGCACCCATCATCTCCCACGTTTCCAACTCTCCCAGATTCAAAAATTATTGTATATAAGAATGGCGTATGCCAAGGTGTGGCCTTTGAAAATCTATACTCGTTCTTTCCACAGCCAGACGAGTTCACCAGCAAAGGAGATCTGATCGATGATGACGGGTCACCAGGGTATTATCCTGCCGTATCGATGTTTCGTGGAGGCACTTGTACAGTCAATTTTGGACCGTATTTCATGTACCCCCCACCAAAAGACCCCGAGGCTGCCGTTGAATGTAATAAAGATGAAAATGAACAAGCGGATTATGGAGAGGGAGATGTGTGTACGTGGAGGCCCTTGTCAGAAAGGTATTCGGAACACGTTATAGAGGATGTCGTCTATGATTTAATTGACGAGATAGAGGCTTGGGCTAAAGCTGTTTTGGGAATATCCGACGAAAAAAGCAATGGTAGAAGGCGAAACAGAGCGCATGGAAAGAGAAAGGCCAAGCCACAGCCGTGAGAGAAAAACAAGGTATCAAAACAAATGACTCATAAGCTGTTTATGTGGACAATTTACTGTAAACATTCATAATTGCAATGAACTGTTTTAATAGTTTTCACAAGTGTAAATGTAATTAGAGTCTGAAAGAACACTGTATGAAACAATAAAAAGGTTTATTTTAACAATAGACGCGATTAAGCGTTAACGGGTATCGTAAAATGTCCAAACGATGAGCTTAGAAGACGTGATTATGAATATGCCGGCATGGGTAATCTGAAATGTCTGCAAGATGTCAGTGAACCAAATGACTTTGCTACATACAACATATCTTCATTCAGCAACAATCCCGTTCTCATCAACTTCAAGATAATTCTTTGCCAAGCTGTGCAGGTTGGACATAAAGGTTGGGAGAGGCCGCTTGGCTATTTCAAGTGGGATCATCTTCTTGATGCCTTCAATGACGTTTGTGCCTTCAAAGCGTATTGTAGTTGTTATCGGATCAGGGCCCACCTCGTAAGACGATGAGGGATCAAATGGAAGTTTTACCTAAGAAAACGGAACAAGAACGGTGATTAGAAGGATAAAGTGTTTGTCAATACAGATACAAACAGCCGTACGGGAAACTTCGTCAATCACGTACTTTGATTTCCACGTGGTCCAGTGCAGGCTGTTCGACGGATCCAAAGTTCTCTTCTAGCGTACGTTCTCTCTCCGCTTCACGCTTCAAATCCTCGGACACTATGCGACTATTCCGTTTTCTTCTTGTTTTCCCTGAAGCATCTATAAATCAATTATATATAGATATTGATGTATGTACGATCTCGTTCACTGAATAAATAAAAGAATGCTACTTTCACTATTTACCTCCTGGTTTCTTTTTCTTTACCGGATGAAGTAGTGGATTATCATCTACTTGATTCAGACGATACAGACTAAATGATCCTTGTGATTCTCGATGAAGTAATAATTGCTCCAACGAATCGACATATTTCCCCTTCAGATCCCACTCTTCTATTTCGTGACATGTAAAAGATTTGATAAGCGCCTATGAAGAAACGGTTGTTGGGTTATGATGATGTGTGAGAGAGAGGAAAATTGTAAACAAAATACAATAGACGTTTGGTCCCATAGGTTGCTATATTTTAATATGAGACCTACCTGCATTATGTATGCTTTGAATTCTGATTTGACCCTTGTCGACAATAGATATTCGGAATCAACAAAATACACCAAATATACTATGTTTCCTGTTGGAGGAACAACATTTGGAGCTACTCCGTCATTGATGCTTATTCTAATCCACCAACTGTTTTCATGAGATTCGATATAAAGATGCTTAACAGGAATAAAAAAAACGTACATGTTATATTAGAAATTTTACGATTGCTAGGCTGACAGATATTTGCCCGACAGGCTTACGTGTTTAAAGAATAGCGACATATTATTAGACATTTGCCAACGTAGTTTAGTTATGGCTTTGATCTCTCTTCTTGATGTATTGTTTTCCCAACACAGTTTTAACGCTGACCATTGCCTATTCTTTGAATGTTCGCGACAATCTGTTGTAACAAATTATTATTATTACATGAATCTAATATTCTATTAAAAAACCCTTAAAGATATAAAAACAATAAGTCCTCATTAACGTAAAGTACGGACGGACACTTTAAGTCCAATTGTGCCAGCTGTAAATATGTCAATCCCCCCTACAAGAAAAAAAGAATCAATGTTAGCAAGACGGAGCAAAATCAACAGTAGAAATCGATAGTTCCGCCGTCGTATACTAACCAAATCATCACATATTTTGTCTATTAACTTCTTCTTACTCCCAGACTTTTTGAACTCTTTGTATGAAGAAACCAATTCTTCAATGTTCTTATTTTCGTCTTGTGGTTCACTTTTGAGTGATTGCAACCATCGTTCTGTGAGCTGCAATAGCGAACCTTTGGTGTGTCTGTTAAGCGCAAGACGTAGAGACGGATGTGGGGCAAGAAGTATTTTGTCGTTCGATTTCGGCATCCGTTGGGATTTGTGTCGATGCGTGATTCAACGTGACTATTTAAGGATTACAGTTGAAGGATTAAACTTTTATGTGTGTAGAGATTTTTTAAACGAACCAAACATTTGGCTGTATTCCCTTTTTCGGATTTGTTATGATCGAAAGGCGCGTGTTATGTGTAACTACGAAAAAAGCCGCGTAGATCGATCCAATGCAAATTACCTCTTCTGGATTGCAGATCCATCAGTAACTTTCTTCTACATAAAGAATTAGATCCTTTTCCATCACAGTACTAACCTTTTTTTATTTGGATTACAAAAGGCAAGAATATCTTTATCATAATATTCGCCCGTTTGTTAGAGACGAATTCAAAGATATTACTTGTCCAATACCAACCTATACTGGCAACGGATAAAACATTTAGGCTCCTCACCATTATTTGAGCGCTCGTTAATTCCTCGGTTATTAAGTTCTCCGTCCAATTTTTCAACGGATATTGCTAGCTTTTCCCGCTTTTAATTTTTAAAGCTTAAATAAAAAGAAACATTAAATAATTATATACTTAATACAGTCAACTCTGTTTATACCGAACGGCTCTCTGTGTCCTTCCGGATCCGGTATAAACAAAGAATTTTCATATGAAACGAACGGTGCGCAAGAATCTGTCCGTGAGATTCCGGTATATACATTTCCGGTATAAACAGAGTTGACTGTATACCCTCATAGAATTGAGTATATTGAAAGAATAAATATGCATATACAGTGCACGAAAAAAGTTTTTGAATATTATTTTTATTAATTATGCAACGAAAAATGATCGGAAAATTTTCAGATACGTTCTTCGTCGTACAATACACCGTCTTACTTATTGCTGCTCAACAGCTTATCTCAAACCGTTCCCGTTTATTATTTTATTCAATCTTGACAGCATGCTTTGAAATTTCCTATAAGATGCAAAGTAATTGAAAAGGGAAGTTCCTTCTAAATTAGCAATGTAGCCTAATTTAGCGGCCACGGTACAAAAATTGAATGGCAGAGTATGCCAGCCCAAATGGGAAGAAATAGGAAACTGATTGGTCGAGTGAAACATTTGGAAGAAGAAGTTGAAGAGAATAATAACAACTAAAAAATGTTATCAAACTAACATAAGTGCTTTTTCCAAGCTCTTTCCAAAAACTTTTATTTTAAGCTTCTTAACATCATATACTTAGAAGGCAAAATAAAGTTAATTTATGTAACATATAAGCGTCTTGAATACTATTTTGCCCAGAGTGGTTATAATCTTGCGACATCAGCCGATCAAAACCTTGGCGTTGTATTTTTAATAACAAAACGAAAAGTGTAGCAAATAAAACAAATGACCGAGTCTTTTTGTCGGTGCTACAAATACAAGAATAGATTGCACAAAACGTATTAGTTGGCTGTTTTAGACACGTATTTTGGAAGGAAATAAAGGTTATGCATTTTATTCCAAAGACTTTTTCGCGCACTGTATATATAAAGCATGGTAAACATCGTAAACGAACAACAACAAGCAAATAGAGAATTGTTAAACGAAATCGAAGTATTGAAAAAGAAAATAGCCGATAAAGAATGAGAAAATGAACAATTAAAAACACCCTTACGACTTAAACAGTTGAAATTAGACAATAAATAATAAATAGCCAGTGTTCTAAGTGAAGTGAAAGTCATTATACTGACAATCCTGATGTTGATGTTGTTAGTGAGGTTATGAAGTAGCCTATTGTGGCTAAGAAAATTGGCAAAACATTCCAGCTAATAGAAGAGTAATTCTCAACACTTACAGTTAAGCAAACAATAAAACTTTACCAAGTGAGAGATGAGGCTAGAAGAAATATTCTTATCAACCTCATCAAATTATAGCACTTTTCAAAATACGTACGTAGTATGATTATCATCAAAAAACGAAAATAGTTAACTGTGTGACATAATCGGTTTTAAAATCGCTAGTGTAACAACCCAACAAGCTTTCTTTTCTTGCCTTGCGCTAAGTAAAGAGGTAAAGTTGTATTAAGTACTCTTCAGAAAGATTTAGTTATCACTGGCTCGCAAAAGTTTTTCATGTTATAATCGCTGTTTTCACAAAAAAAGTTGTGACCAAATGTTGTGTGACTGCGTAATTTTGAAAAGAGCGATAAATTCTGAGGAAAGCAAGAACTATTTCGAAAGTGGATAAGAGAGAACAAATTAGAAAATAAAATAACAACTAAAGGAATATTGGAAAATGAATATGAAGAAAGTTGATATCATTGTTTAGACATTAGACAACTTAGTTAGTCAATAGTTGAAATAAATTTAAGGAGAATTTTTGGTAAGACCTTTAAACAAAATCAAGAATATGAAGAAAAAATCCAACAGTTAGAAGACAAGCAAGAAGAATTGGAAGACAGAGTGGACGAGTTAGAGGATGGAGTAGAAATGGAGCGAGAAGAAGCTGGAAAGGCACTGGATGCAGCTATAACCCAAGTTTAAAAGGTGACGTATTCCTCAGTGATTTCCGTAGCACAGCTACGCAGTAGAATTAGTGATACGAAATGACACCAAAAATAGACACCTAGATTAGTACTATAGCAGTGTCAAAAGTGTGCTACATAGACGTGTCAAATTATTACGCAGCCCATGTATCGAAATATGGTATCAAAATAGTGAAACTGTAGTAAGATATATAAGCAGTCATAATTTCCCTTAGTAAATAGAATCTTCAGAATCTTCTGCATATTTGGTTCTATTTGTCCTTATAATCCTTGTAATTAGAATAGCTCTGAATTCTAATATTTTCGTTTATTCCCTGGTGAGTTTTATCGAATCGCTGATTAAGGGTAAAGCGCTTCTCGTCAGCAGTTAATAAGTTTGATCTTGCCATTGAACTTATCGGAATTTAGGCATCAGGATTATTATTATTCAATTGTGTTTAACGCGTTACCATTATTGAAGACTTCCCCAACCGATAGATTTTCGTTAATAATCCCTAGCAAATCATAATCGAGTCTGTGACTCAGAGGTTGAATAATAACCAGAGCAAGCATATACAGATAGTCGGATTAAGTCCGTGAGTATTGATAAATCCTATAAGGTCACTAATTGAATAGCGATTTAGCGATAGTAGGAATGAGCCTGAGAGTTCCGCCGGAAGACGACTAAATCCCAAGGCCGTTACACGAACGCTCTCCCACGTGTGGCGATCCGACAAGGTGAAGAAAGCACCAAATGTCTGAACCAGTGTTAAAGCAGTACCTTATTTGGAATCACGAGTGATTTGAAGCTCGGATAGGGAATTGAAAAGCGCATTTAATTTAATTACATAAATAGGTCACTTGCAGATTAGAATTCAGTCTTAATTGAACAACTACCATATTAAGGACGGTAGCACGAAGCTAATCTGGTAACATCCCCCGGTCGGAAGAACACCCCTACGCGAAAGATTAATTGCTCTCCCAAACCCCAGACCATCCGACTGTAACTGTAATTCTTTGGTTCCATAGTGGATTTGATGTAAATTAGTTTTATATTTATATTTTTATATAGAGATAATCCTATATTAAACATATTGGAATTCAAGTAAAGTCTATCTTAATCAACTTGAAGGTTAATTACACCTTGGCATGATATAACTTAAAACTGTAACTTACATAAATTTGTATGAGTTACAACTGTGATAACCAAAATGTTATTAGTCAAATTAGTTAACATTCAGCCACATCAGCCTCTCTTTTATGTCACATAATAGAATGTTCACTTTATCTGGTTTTGTTGCAGCATGCCCCATATTACACTTCATATTAATAATTATAAATTAGTACTAAATGACAAAGTTTCAGTAAAATGCAAAAATATGTTGTCAGTTCCATACAGCATTAAAGCATAATATGAAAGTGACTTGCAACTACTGTGTGAACCAATTTTTAATCTTTTTCCCAATACCCTTCTTTTTATTATAATAGTCTTCAAGATAGTTTTGTGCACCAACATCTCCTTGTTCAGCTGCTTTTTCATATAATTCAACTGCCTTCTCAGCATCTTTCTTTAATCCAATTCCATATCGATAGCAATGACCAAGATTACTTTGTGCAGTAGCATCTCCATGTTCAACTGCTTCTTCATATAATTCAACTGCCTTCTTAGCATCTTTCTTTAATCCAATTCCATGTTGATAGCAATAACCAAGATTATTTTGTGCAGCAGCATGTCCTTGTTCAATTGCTTTTTCATATAATTCAACTGCCTTCTTAGTATCTTTCTCTACTCCAATTCCATCTTGATAGCAAACACCAAGATTATATTGTGCATTAGCATGGCCTTGTTCAACTGCTTTCTTATACAATCCAACTGCCTTCTTAGCATCTTTCTCTACTCCAATTCCATCTTCATAGCAAAGACCAAGCTTATTTTGTGCATCAGCATCTCCTTGTTCAGCTGCTTTTTCATATAATGCAACTGCTTTCTTAGCATCTTTCTTTAATCCAATTCCATATTGATAGCAAAGACCAAGATTATATTGTGCAGGAGCATCTCCTTGTTCAACTGCTTTTTCACATAATTCAACTGCCTTTTTAACATTTTTCTCTACTCCAATTCCATTTAGATAGCAATTACTAAGACTGTTTTGTGCATCAACATCTCCTTGTTCAGCTGCTTCTTCATATAATTCAACTGCCTTCTTAGCATCTTTCTTTAATCCAATTCCATGTTGATAGCAATAACCAAGGCTATTTTGTGCATCAGCATTTCCTTGTTTACTTGCTTTTTCATATAATTCAACTGCATTTTCAGCATTTTTCTCTACTTCAATTCCATGTTGATAGCAATAACCAAGATTATATTGTGCAGTAGCATCTCCTTGTTCAACTGCTTTTTCACATAATTCAACTGCCTTTTTAACATTTTTCTCTACTCCAATTCCATGTAGATAGCAATTACTAAGACTGTTTTGTGCAGTAGCATCTCCTTGTTCAGCTGCTTTTTCATATAATTCAACTGCCTTTTTAGCATCTTCTTCTAC